CCATGGCGACGTTCAGGGTTCACACTCTAAGACATAGGTCAACAGGCTGTACTCACACGCATGTTGGGCGCACTGGGTATTGACGTGTGTTGTGTGTCCGAATCTACGATCAATGACGCTAATGGGGTTGTTGAATTAACTGCATCCGGCTTATCCTCCCGTTACTGGTTGCACGCTTCCGCAGACGCAAATGCAGCATTCACGAGTCAAGCTGGTGTAGATATCATTCTAAGCTCCAAGGCTGAGCCATCATTGGTTGGTTGGATCCCGGTGAACAGCTGTTTATGTGCAGCCCGTTTGACGACATCAGCTAAGGTTGATTCACGAAGTAGTATCAAACCCTGTTTGTTTGTGATTTCCGCTTATGCTCCCACCGACTGCAGTTCTAGTGCTGTCAAGGATACATTCGATCACTAACTGAACGCGCTACTACGCAGTGCTACTAGTTCAGACATCATGGTACTTGCAGGCGATATGAACGCACAAGTATGGTGTCTGAACGGACTGACAACAGTGAGCGTCTGCTGCAACTGTGTGCAAAGCACCAGTTGTTTCTTAGTAGCATTGCTTTTAGACACAGTGGGCGCCTAAGTGCCACTTGGCCAGCAATGGACCCAAATTCATCACATAGCCATAAGTTACATGTGGCTTGGTTCTATCCTGAATTGCCGCTCGTACTGGAGTACCTGCGTCGACTCTGATCATGCATTAGTACGCCGTCGTTCCTCCATGAACTTTACCGGGAGGCTCACCATGCGCCTCCTCCGATTGGCAAATGAGAAACTGTCTTAACCCTAGTTCATACAAACCTGTCATGACGCACTGCGTACCGAACATTCGCTTTCTTGTCCTAGTGACAGCACGCAGGAGCATATGCTTGTGGCACTATCAATCGTCACCGCACCAGTCACTGGATAGATGAGAAGTCGGTGAACCAGTTGGAATATAGAAGAAACCTCCCGGCTGGCTCTGAAAATAATGTGACCAGACGGGCTATTAGGCGCGAACTAAAGCAGAGCCTACGTGCTGACGAAGAAGCTTCGTAGACAAGTCGGGCTCAAGAAATGGAGGAGGAAAGAGCAGTAGGCAGATACCGCGAGCTCTTCCAACTGATCGGAAACACTGGTCCCAGAAAACCAGGCGTCAGTGAGACAATCAGAGACAGCATGGGTGCACTGATACACAATAAGGAGCGTCGTATGGCTCGGTGGACGGATCACTTTTAAGATCAGTTCAGCTGGCCACCTGCTTCTGGACCTCTTCCTACTCAGGTGATGCAGGACGAACCACGGATGGTTAGTTTAGAGTCTCCGTCGGAGGCCGAGGCCCGAAACGCGACCCCAGCCCTCAATCGTTTTCGTTCTGCCGGCCCGGATTCCCTCCCACCTGCACTATTTAAGGATGGAGGTGAGGTCCTCTACCAAGCACTGACCTCCCTATTCGAATGCATCTCGAAGGAAGTGTCCCGGTTAATTGTGGCGAATCGATTATAGTGGCATTATACAAGGAGGGTAGTCGCTTTGGCTGTTCTAACCACAGGGGTGTTAGCCTAACGCCAGTTGTGACGAAATTACTGGCCTCATTTCTCGTTCGTCGCTTCACTGTGGAACGGGAATCTCGGATTAAGGAATAGCAGGCAGGTTTCCGCTTAGGAGGTCGATGTACAGACCGTGTATTCACTTTGCGGCAGGTGCTAGAGCAGCGCCACGCATACCGCAGACCGACAATAGCTGTGTTCCTCGATTTCAAGAGTGCGTTCGATTCAGTCGATCGATCGATTCTGCTCGACATACTTGTGCGGATTGGTGTTCCCACAAAAATAGTGAACATCTGTGTACTCGAACACTACAGACTGCTTCAGTGTCTACGGTGACCTGTCCGATAGCTTTCCGACCACAAGTGTCGTTCGTCAGGGTTGTCCGATTTCCCCATTCTTGTTCAATTTCGTCGTGAATTCTATCATGGAGTGTTCCCTTGCGGAATCTCACGATATAGGCGTTGAAATGCTGCCTCGTGAAAGATTAGTTGCTTTTGATTATGCGGACGATGTCGTCTTGCTTTTCGACGATGTTGCGGCGGCATAATCAATCCTGAATAGCCTGTCTTAAGTGTTCCTATTATTTGGTATCCACTTCACACCCAAGTGCAAAGTGTTCCTGCGGGACCAGCAGCCACTTTATGACCTCTTGACTCTGACTAACGAGGAACTGGAGGTGGTTGATCAATTCACTTACTTTGGCAGCTGCATCGGCAAGTATGGGCGCATAGAAACTGACGTCAGCTCACGCATTGCGAAGGCCAGAGCTGCCTTCTTGAATCTGCGGCATCTTTGGCGACATAAGGGAGTTTCCCTCCGTCTGAAATGCCGTGTATACAAGGCCACAGTGAGGGTCGTTCTGCTCTATGGTAGTGAGACTTGGCCTCTTAAATTTGAAGATCTGAGGTGTCTTCAAGTCATTGTTGTCTGCGAAGCATTGCTGGTGTCGGATAGCACTAGCGTGTCCGCAACGGTGATGTGCGTAGGCGAGTACTAGGTAGTGATAGTTGTGCTAGCTCCCTAGAACAACAGATAGCACTGAAAAAGTGCGTTGGCTCGGGCACGTGCTACGTATGCCTGGTCACCGCTTATCTAGGAGAGTCTTGTTTAGTCTGTCAGGAGTAGGGTGGCGCAGGGCTCGAGGCGTACAGAAGTTGACTTGGCAACGGGAAATGAAGTCACTGAGGACCAAACTGGGTGCCGTAGATCCGTTTCGCTTTCCGGCCTGGAGTCCACATGACTCGCGTTGTGCTTGGCTCGAGACTTTACAGGATATGGCTCTTAACAGACACCAGTGGTCCATCTGCTGCCATCTCCTAGTTTGGTTGCTTGTTTATAGTGTGTTTGGTACTGCGTAATCTGTGGGGTAATGGCTGATTATGATGCGGGGCCGTGAAAGACTGTTTTAGTCAAAAGCGAGACCTTTAAATTGGACATTGCCACCCTCCCCGAGAACATCGTTTTTTGTGCTATTTACTGCAAACTTATCAATTTTATTTGTTTCTCTTAACGAATTCTTTGGCTGGTCGATTTCAAGGTCACTGAGGTCGCTCAACTACAGCGATTCTTTGAAAAAAGCACCTGAGATACCGACCAAAACTCGCAGTTTGCTGCTTTTATTTGTTAAAACGAGCCATCAATAAACGTTTTAACAAATGTTGACCTCCACTTTAAGAGTAATCTTATGATTCGTTCAATCAATGTGCGGTCGTTGCTCAAAGATTCGGGACTGTTTACTTAAGTGTCATCTTAACAGGATATGGCTTGCAACTGACACCAGTGACGCGTTTGCTGCCGTCTCCTAGTCGGGTTTCCTGTTTAAAGTGTGTTTGGTCCTGAGTTATCTGTGGGGCGAAGGCTGATTATTATGGGGGGGGGGGCAGGGAAAGCCGCAAGGAAGCTATCTCGCCGATGCCGCCTAATTCTTGCACGATTTCCAGCTGTTTGTGACGGTATGTTGTCTACACAAGGTGTAGGCGCTTTGACCCTGAATGTTTGCTTAGGGCATTAAGGTTTTCTTATAAGTCCCGCTTTTCTCCCTCTTATTATTCTTCATTGCATAGTTCATCATGATTGCATGGCAGCGAAGCATCAATTCAAATGGCTGATGTGTTGTTGTTGATGTTGTTGTTGGCACGTATAAAGTGCAACATAACATTATCTTCAGACAGTCTGAATGCAACGTTTCCCTCTTGACTCAGTAGCTTCTCCATCTGATTGATTTGGATCGCGGTCTAATAGCTGAGGTGCTTGTCACCTCTGGCTATAGTGCAAAGTGATAATAATTGTGGTTCAGAAGACTGCTGGTTGTTACTTTCATGCTGTAGTTACACAATAGCAGTGTATTCTCCTTCAATTCATCGAAGGATCGAAATCGTAGCTTTATACTTCAATGCAACACCTTAAATCATTTGGGTGCACTGGAGGCCTGCGGTCGCCATGCACCTTGCCGCTGGGGGAAGAAGATGGTACGATACCTCTCTCACTGGCTCATCTATTGGATTGTCATTTTAGCTTGTTGGACTCCGTTCCTCGAGGAGGCTTTGAATACGCAATTACGGTGTGCATTAAGGGGTATCACGTCCAGCTATTCGACCAATTCATCCATTATATTTCACGTTACTCCACAGCAACTTAAACTGCCAGCTCGCCGTGTCGGGACGTTATTTCACCAGAATAACTTATGCTTATTTCCCCTGAAGGCTTTACCTTCGTAATTGGGATTACATGTAAGATTACAGGAAAGCTAACATGTGAGCATTTACAAGCATTGCAACCAAGTAAGTGCAGATTTAGCATCCCTGAAGTGAACCAATATGCAGGTAATACACCGGAACCCGAACGAGCCTTTCAGTGATCGATCAACTAATATGAGTCTCGCACTGACAAAAACCCCGTTCGGTGCTCCTCTCGTTTAGTTACGACGAGTGTTTTCAAGGTCACTGCACTCACCTTTCAATAAAACCATTTTGCTTCCCCTTCGCACTCTGTGGTGTGCATTCACAACGAAAGAATGACCTTGTACTCTATGATCCAGACTCGAAGTGGATACATGCAACCAACTTTAACTGTGGGTGTGGCAATTGTTATAAACATCATGTAAGTCGAAATATGTACGCTTGGTTGTACTCCACAACTCATGAGTTACTCGCTGTTGTCTACTCCCAGGTGGCGAGTGCCTAATCTATGTACCCCAGTAACAAATAGTCTGTGGACGACAGTCCACTTTAATGGCTGCCATCACTACCTACACGAATCCAAACTTCCGGTTGCTGCGCATGTTAGTGATTTTTTTCCCGGTGGTTTCACCCATTTATGTAGTTGTGTATCTCTGGGGTCACTGGCCCACACATCGCTCACACTAGAAGCCAGCGAGAAGGTCCGGAGGCCCAGTGCTCTGCCTTGACTTCCATATTTCATACTGCTCATCATTATTTGATACTACCAATTCCAATAAACTCACCGTTCTTCCAGCTCTCTGTACTTCTGGTCGATTCTCTCAGAGACTTTTCTGTTGTCATCCTCTAATCCATAGCTCCCTCCTCGGTTCAAAAGCGTTTTATGTGTCGACATCTTGTCGTTTATATCCCTGAGTGATTGACGCATTGCTCGAAAATTTGCCACTGAAGGAAGTTCATAATCCAGTATACCGTCCAAGTGTTCCTTGAGAGAGACCAATTATCGAGATTCATCAGTAATATAGCTCAGTGTAATCCGAACGTTTATCAACTTGGAATCCTTTTTACTTTACGACTTATTTATGTGTCTTGGTCACACTTCTGTCCATCACTGCGCGAGGGCACACAGAGCAGAACTTAGAATTGGACCTATCAACTGCTGAGAAAACATGGTGCGTGAACTTGTTTGCTACAATCCTTATTTACTAGGTTGTTGTATACGTCTCTTGACGGAGCTAATTAGCTATTATGCTCTGTGGTAAACGGTTCAAATCGTTGTGCACTTATGCTTCATTATTGTATCCCATACTGGGGGTAGCAGTCAAGGCTGATCGAGTTTACAGTGATGGAATACTATTCTGATTTCTCATAGAAGGAATAAGCAAATATTTGAAATTGCTGTTTACCCATCGGTCGTGGTTTTGAACACTTTCGACGCTATGGGATTTTTTTATTGGAAGCATTCGAAACGTGAACGTACCTCGATTCTACGTACGCGTTCCCTTGCCGTATCCGATGAGCGAGTATCCTCCAGGTTCTCTCCATGCCACATCTTTTTGTCATTCTGTGGGAGGATAACCATTAGACATGAACACTTTAACCGGGGAAAATTATGATGAACCAAATGATATCAAACATGTTTAACTTGATGGGTTCATTGTATTCCGGCGTCCGTTTGCGTCATGGCGCTATACGTCAGCTACACCCAAACATCTTACCAGATTGTCCATCCCCTCGCTATAGTGCTGAACCGAGGCTGGTGTCTCATGTTACGTTTAGAGGAAGCGCGGCTTTGAAGTGAAAATCACTAAATTATCTGACCACTCCCGAATGTCATACTCAGAAGTGGGCAGCCTGGCAACACAAGTGATTAATCACCCTTGCAGGCAGTCGTACCGAACTCGCTTCCCTATGTTCCATTTCAAGTGTATCCTTATGCCTGTCCTGTGTCTGTTGACTGGTGTTTCATCTGGGGCTTTCAATTCTATTTTGCTTTTTTCATTAGAAATCAGCTTAAGCTGGATCTGCTATAGGCTGGGGTGGCTCCGTCATCCCAACTCACGGCCTAACCTGATCTTGCCATTCTTCGTTCACCAAATTGCTTTCATCGAGTTCAGAAACATCTGTCTTCTCATAAAGAGTATCAGTAGTACGCTAGTGTGCAGTACTAACGCTTCGCTGCCGCGCAACCATCAACAGTCACGCGTGCGCTAATGATACTGCAAGGGTCACCGGTCCCGTACACAGGCTCGAACCCCGCATTTGCATCATACGGCAGGTCACCTGCCGACGTGTCTTCCAATTATCGCGATGCTCTTGAAATTATACCTTCATTCCTAGTATTTCGCGAGCATCGGACTTTATCTGGCCTATATAGCACGCAATACGGCTATATTAATATGATTGAGTGCATTATTCCATAAATATTATTCTAACAAAGCAACTCACACTGAACGTATTTCTATTTTTGATCCCCTGGCCTTCTCTCACGATCATTTGCAGCCCATTATATTGTGATATACACACTAAGTAGTTTTCAGTTAAATCCAAGTTGCCACAACTGACCATCATTTCATCTCACGCAATGTTTACTCGACGGTTCCCCAAGTTTTTGCAAGCACGTCAGTTGGTAAGTTTTCACCCTCCTGGGAGGTATATAGCATTATTATTGAGCTACTCTCACTAGATTGTTCAATGTTTAGAGCTCAGACAAATATTCTCCTGGTTCTCTAGGTTTGAAATGGGATGGCGTCCATTTCTGTAAAACTAAATCATCGCAACCTCCCCGTTGCCTTGCGAACAGGTTTTTGAGCCAAACAATTTGGATGAAAACCTTAACCGTTCTCCTGCCTAGGGATGGGCGTCCTAGCAGTATTTCAACCCACATACAACTATGACAGTTTCCTCATGTGTTAACTTAATCCTGCATCGGCCGTCGCGCAGATTATCAAGGGTCGCCTTATCTGCTGCCTAGAGCAAGGCGGATAAGCGAAAACATGCTACTGCTGGTGCCTCCCTTCTTTCTGTTCCATCTGTTTCTCTTACTCCCATCCTGACCCCATTATTAACCTTCCATCTATAATTCCCAGCTTAATTGACAGCAACCGAAGTGTCACTGGAGTAGAACCATCTGCATCCACCTCGCGACACCCACCGGACGCGTATCGGCAACAGTCCTTTATAAGGTCACGCTGTCCTGTTTCCCTGGCAGCTTTCAGGGTTCGCACTCTAAGACAAATAGTTCAACAGGCTGCACTCGCACGCATGTTGCACACACTTGGTATTGACGTGTGTTGTGTGTCCGAATCTACGATCAATGACCATAATGGGGTTGTTGAATTAACTGTGCTCGGCTTGTACTCTTGTTGATGCGGCAACAACTACTCAAGCTGGAAGAAGCGTTGTACTCTGCTACATAACCGAGCCATCATCATTTGATTAAATTCCCGTGAGCAGCCGGCACCAACTGGGGTTGATTCACGAAGTAGTACAAGACGCTGTTTGTGGTTTTCGCCTACGATTCCACCGACTGCAGATCTGATGCTGCCAGGGATACATTATACCGCGAACTACCCATGGTACTGTGCAGTGCTACCAATTCAAATATCATAGTACCTGCAGGAAGTTTGAAAGTACAAGCAGGTCCTCTGCGCTCTTCTGATATTCAGCTAGGTGGTAATTATGATCTTTACAGGGTCTACGAATGGTCGACTCAGAACCTGCTTCAGTTCAATGCTAGGAAGTGTAAGGTGTTGAGCATGCGCCATAAAGCCACTTGCGAATACAGACTGGGGAATCAAATATTGCAGCGCACTTCAACGGAATGCGATCTAGGCGTGATAGTGCAGGAAGTTCTGGGCTGTTCCCGTCAGGCCGCGAAAGCCACCAAAAAGCTAACCAATACCTTGGCCTTTTGCGGAGGGCATTCGGGCGCTTTGATCCCTCCATCTTTACTCAGATTCTCAACGCCTACATTCGGCCTCATTCTGAGTACGCCATCCACATCTGGCAGCCATGGCAGAAGCAAGACCTTACCGCTCTTGAACTGCCACAACGAAGGGCGACTAAGAACGTAAAGTGCATGTTTCATCTCCCTTACCGATTGAGGCTGAAAACCCCCGGGTTTACGGTGGACAATATCGACGCCTGCGTGGCGACTTGATAATGACTTATATGATCCTGAGAAATCCAAACCATTCTTGCCGTCACTTACTAAAGTTGAATCGTAATTCCACACTCAGAGAACACCAGCTAAAGCTGGCTACACAATACAGCCGGTTGGGATGCTGCCGGAATTTCTTTTCCCTTCGTGTGTGCCACCACTGGAACGCTCTTCCCACATACGTTGTTTCTTCCCCCATGCTGACGGTATTCAAAAGACGCCTGGAAGATTCGCTTAGCCACTTACATTACGCTATCTAATCAGTGATGTCTACGTCAACCCAACGCGAACAAACGGTGCTCATTATCAGTTTTTGTGCCTCGCTACTTACACGCTGCTGCTGTGGAATATCGTTCGGATATATTACAACTGCATTCATCAATTACATCAGTCCAAGGAAGTGACGCACGAGTAAGCGTTGTCGTTCTTTTTGTTCTTAAGACATATCTTCCCCATATTACTCTACAGTAACAATTCAATGCGCATTCTAAAGTATTTAAATGAAGAAGGGCATTTGAATTGTTAGGCGCTCAAATTGACGGTTTACATTTATGTTTGCCTTCACTTCAACCATCCTACGGGACTTGTAAAGCAATCGCTTTTTTACCTGTAGTAAATCATTGTTCATTGATCGACTCCGAACGGACTGACAACAGTGAGCGTCTGCTGTACTTGTGTGCGGAGCACTAGTTGTTTCTTAGCAGCACCGCTTTTAGATACACTGGGCGCCGAAGTGTCACCTGACGTCCTCCTGTAACTGGCGGGCGATAGACTCAAATAGATCACATTGTCATAAGATACAGGTGGCGTGGTTCCATCCTGGATTGCCGCTCGTACTGGAACACCCGTGTCCACTCTGATCATCCTTTGGTGCGCTTTCTTTTCTCCATGTATTTAACCGGGAGGCTCAACAAACGTCTCCTCCGATTGGCATTTCAGAAACTGCCTCAGCCCTCATGCACGCCTACCAGGAGGCACTGCGTAACGAAATTTCGCTGTATTGTCCTAGTGACACTGAGTCTCAGTACAATAGGATATCGACCGTCATGCACGAATAGGAGCATCTGCTTGGAACACTATCATTCGTCACCGCACCAGTCACTGGAAATCCGAAAAATCGGTGAACCTGTTAGAATCCAGAAGAAATCTCGCTGCTGGTTCTGAGCACAGACGAGATATTAGGCGCGAACTAAAGCGGAGTCTGTGTGCTGAAAAAGAAGCTTTGTGGACAAGTGAAGGAGGCAGGAGCGGTAGGCAATGACCACAAGCTTTTCCAGCTGATCCACACCACAATAGAGACGTAAGCGGAGCTAAATTTGGGTTTTGACTGAGAATTGATTGGCTCCTGATTCCTGACGCCACTGTTGTAACGTTTCTTCTTACCTCTGCTGTCTGCCGCTGACGACTGTTGTACTGTTGCTAGCTGCCCTATGAGACTGCGAATGTCTGACTTCTCAGTCACGCGCCCAACCAACCGACGGAATACAGATGACCAAGGCTCGGTAAACAGGGTCTCTATCTACACCATAAGTTAACTGTTTTTATAGGTAGCCGAAATATGCTAATTTAGGAGGTCAAGATCGCTCATTTTTGTGCGTCCGGTTTTCAGCCAGTGTGAGTGAGTTCCACTCCACGGGTTTATCATATTGACGGTATAGTTCGATTCGTTTTACGCGGACTGGTAATTGCTGGCCGATCAATTCTCAGTCGATACCCAACTTTAGCTCCGTTTACGTCTCTATTACCTCCCGCTTCAACTTGATTGTTCCCACCTATTTTCCGCACTTGGGCTTGGTCGTAGCTTTTTACCCTGGGGTCCACTTGTAGCCATCGCAGTTGCCTTCTTCTTCGACTTGGCCTGCATGTCACGTCGTGTGGCGTCTGTGCGACCGGCTTTGTTCCGCTTTGGGGATCAGTTCTCTTTTCTAAACCAAATGTATCCAGTAGTATATCCCACTGTGGTGCCGCGGGTTCTTGATCTCTTTGAGTTTTGCCAAGCCGCTGTCGTAGATTATTGATATGTCTGGTCCACTTGTCCTTTCCGATCATTATCTCATAAATAACTTTACCCCACTTTCCACTAACCGTTCCGCTAACCCATCTTTCCGGGGTCTGGAATTTTCGTGCATACACCAAGTCGCCAATCTTGAACGTGCGAAGCCTGTTATCCAGCCCCCTTCTCGGTTGTCCGTTGCGTTTTTCAACATTTCTGGGAATCAGGCTATTAAATGTCGTTCTAACTTTTCGTCCAACTAGACATTCAGAAAGAGATTTACCCTCCGGTGTGTTTGGATTCGGAGTGTTTCGATACATTCTCAAAAACGGCTGAATTGCATCTCGTGACACCCTCGTTCCTTCCGCTTTGAGAAGAGCATGTTTAAAGATATCTACAAACCGTTCGG